GGGACGGCTCCTTTAAAGATGTTGAAAATACTTCTCATTTTCTCCTTTATATTTTAAATCAATCAAAGTTGAGACGTTGTCACTAAACGTACCTGGACTCCAAGGATACGTATGTTACCACCTTTAAAAGCACCGTAGGTGTGCGAAAATGTTTTCTCGAGGTTGTCAGGCTCAACGAACATCCCAACTGCAATCATTCCCCATATAGATCCACCAGCATGAATCGACACAGCACCTACTGGATCATCGATCTCAAAGCGCTCCAACAACTGCCACCCAACAGTAGCAACAACAGCACCAATAAATCCAATGATAATGCTCTCGCCAGGCCTTACTACTCCACAAATGGCCGTGATGCTTACCAGACTGCCCAATATTCCCGACATGAATAAAGGAATATCCAACCTTGATAAAAACAGAGTTCACATTAAAATTTAGTCTCTTCTTTAAGAAATCATTCAAATTAAACCATCCTMCCGATGAAGGATCATCTTCCATTGTTTGATCTCTCGAGCTCTTTCGAGCTTGCTCCAGAGGTCGAAATTCAATTCTTCCCCTGAATGGACGGGCATAAATTGATGGTGCGAACGAGGAACGACGGACAATTACAACTCTTTACTCTTAACTAATAAGATTTATACCTGTTAAACAGAATGTAGCTGTAAAATGTCACAAAAACTCCTCCTCCCGCAGAAGCATTGAGAGTGCAAACAGCCGACCGGGAAGCCAGCTTCCATTTCCCTCCGCTGACCCCAAACGTGCTTCCACAGTTAAAGCCAAGCCATCCCCACCAAAGCATAAACATGCCTTGAAAATAATAGTTTGCAAAGTATTCAAGTTTGACCTATTGTTTGACCTTACTCATCAAGAATGTATGGGGTTGATTGTTTTTGTTAATTTCTGTCCAAATTAATTACCAATAACTTATTTCTGTTTGTCTAAATATTGTTCGGCATTCTTTTCAGATTAGTAGYAACTATAATTGAACCTTACCGAGTAGAACATTTGTTGGAGAGGCCATATCATGATTCCACGACTTCTTGGAAGGCCTACATTTGTATCTTCCAGTTCTTGGCTTAAGAATTAATGTAGCCACCAGCCCAGCAACACCACCAACTAGGTGAACAGGACTTGCCCCACCCATATCTACCACTCCCATTTCTTTCAACCAGCCTTTGTCTCCCCAAACCCAATGTGCAGGAAAGCAGTAGGTTATTGTGTTGGTAAAGGCAAATAAAGAGTATGCCTTCAAGTTCATTCTTTCTGCTACTGCACCGGAGACGATAGTTGTAGCAGTTGTTGCAAATGATGCCTGGAAAAGATATAAAGAGAACACTTSACCCATTTTGGACTCGTCTGCATCCGTAAAAAAGCTTCCAAAACCACAAAAGCCATTTGCACTCTCGTGTCCAAATGTGAAGGAAAATCCGAACATCCAGAAACCAAGACCACCAAAGATGACATCGATTGCATTTTTTACCATGATGTTGGCCTCATTCTTCCGCGATACCATTCCTTGCAAATAAATATATATATAGTGAAATTGAAAGACAGAGTAGAGAGTAGTTATTCTAAAATCATTGGCATTTAACACGCGCTATGATTGGTCAAAAACCCTGTTTTAACCGTCTTAAGAGTAGAATGCACCCTAAATTCGTGGCGAATTCACACAATATGACTTACGTGTAACATTTTACGTCTTGAAAMWGCTGTTGAAAAGTTGGTTTGGTTTCTTCATATAGAACAGAAATAGAGGCGAGATACGTTGGAATGCAAATATCGTGTTCTCACCAACACTTGAGATTGTTTTTGGTGACTTTCTACCTGTTTTTTTAACAAATCATCCGGCATTTTTCTTTTCTTTGTATTTTGAGTTCAGCCGCTTTTCATCTTACCGGATTTTTGATTGGTTGATGCTGGGCACGAAATGAGAATTTCTAGTTTCATCAGCAATTAAAAACACAATTAAGATCAAAATTGCCCAAAAAATATATMATGCTGGATTATTTTAAAAAAAGAAATATTTCGCATCGYGCGTTTCCTACGCTTCTCTCGGGTRTTCTCCCTAAATCCGTTTTATATTTAAGAAATACAAAATACATATGCTCATCTCTATAAAAACCTATATGCACTATTCAATAGTCAGAACATTGCTTTCATTCTGTTTTAATGATAGATCGATGTAACTTTTTTCTCATCTATTGTTTGAAGGTGAAATTTATAATATCCAAAAAATRTATTTAAAATTGATTTTTTCAACAGCTCATTGTATACACTACTAGGCGACTACTCCAGAATATAATCTAATCGAAGCAAGGATGACTCTACCTCATGCTTAGGTAGTCGGCGGTGACGCGGAACAAAAATAACGGAAATCACCTAAAGTTCAAAATACCTTATAAAGGCTTCTGTACCGTCAATAAATCTTACTTGTTAAAAGATATAAACCAGAACCATTATCCGTCACATAGATAGATAAAACAAATAATTCGCTTTCCTCTGAGCTGCGCGCATAACAAAAACACAACACTATGAGAGTTCGTTACAACGCAATAACAAAAACGAGATGAGAACAGTGTTTCATTTCGATAAAAATTTCATTTCATTCATTTCGATAAAAATGTGAACATTAGGAAGAATTAATCGAAGAGAATTTATGTAAGCTGTAATTCGTCGACTATATTCTTTATTCTTTATGACTAAAATTGAAAAAAAGCAATATATTTTCATATTAGTATACCGTTTTTGTGTCAAGTGTATATATGTATACAAAAATTATTGTATTCTCTTGGTCTGTGATAACCGTTCAAACAACTCAACTCGAACTGATCGAGCGATATGCAAGAAAATGAGTAAAAGCAAAGGACTGTGATTTGATGAATATAAGCAGGCGAAGAAGTATTAATACAAAAATAATAGGGATTTGCAACGATGAAGAAGTACAAAAAAAATTAAGGAACTTAATTTCTGATATGTTGCTGCATGGATCGTGCCGCGAAAAAAGACAAGACAGCTTAATTGTGCGTTGTTTGCATTAACTAAATTCTTATTTCTAGTTTAAACGTAAACTTTAGGTAAACAAACACAATGAACTGTGAATCGTTAAAAATTGCAAATCTTTATAATTATAGAGAAAAGTCGAATGAGGAAACTTTAAAAATTATAATGTGAAACACCTGCAGACGTTTGCGTACATGGATTATGAATACAATTAACTAAAAACCTTCAGCAGAAMAAGAAGACTAAATATGTAAAATATCGCCTATATTGCTTTGCTTTAGCATTAATATTCTAGCCAAAAYAAGTGATCATATATCAAATGATTCGGGTTTTTTTATTTTTTGAAATAAGGAAAAAAGATTATGTAGTCAATTTAWTGGTATATCACGTTTCTACTGTGTCTTTTTTTACTGCATTCAGTGTATTCTTTTTTAGTCTCGTGCATGAGTCTTTGAGTATTATAAGATAGACGGAATACTTACCGGATTCAACCAAACCAAATCCAGAAATCATTGTGAAAATAATGAAAGCGCTTGTCAGGATCCACACTGCATCTCCCGGTCCTACCATCGCTCTGCTTCCACTGGTATTGTTTATCATGATACTCGCTTCTTARTAAACCGATTTTCATCAGTATTTTGTATTTATCTAATTCTGATCAATTCTTCARGTAATATTTTCTGTTCTTTTACCGTGCTTTGGTGTTAAGGGTTTTTCACGTAATTGGCTCGATATTTTATCGATCAGCCTTAGACACTATCAGCCARGTCTCAGAGAGAACGCAACATTAATTA